CACAGAAGAAAGTATTAAAAATGAATTACAAAAAAAAAAAAACGAAAAACGCTGATAAAGTTACAGATTCCCCAAATTCTGAAATAGCCAAAGGAATGAGAATGAAGAATTCTAACACATCTGGTTTGGCTTGTAAGCGCTGTTTAAACAACGATCTCGCCATTAGCTAGCTGTTAATTGTTTCTTAAAAATACTTGACATCCGCATTCGCATTCCGCATTCGCAACATCCCTAGTACATATGTAGAACATTGCGTCGTACGTTAGAGCAGAAAATTCGTCGGCTTACATCAGCTTGTAAAATAGGTATACTATAAAAAGTTGCATACTTAAATAAACGCGCTAAGCGTTTTAACGGCTTGAGGTTGGTCGTTTGTTTGTTTATTTCTATTTTGTTGTTTTTTTTTTTTTGCATGAAGCGGTTTAAAATGGCAGTAATACGGCAACAGCTCCACTGAAATCTTTAAAGCCAACAACCATGCCACAGTTCAGCCCAAATCAAAAGCGTAGCATAAGCAGGCGATGAATTGGCAAACCCCACCCAAATGGGTGGTCGAATTTTATTGAAAAAAAAACACATACACAACTAAAAAAGTAGCAAATAAGCAACAATAATAAAGCGCAAGTCGATGCTCGATGCTGGAATGTTGGGAATGCGCGTTACAAACTAAAAAAAATAGGCACTTGAGCTATTTAAAAAGGGTAAAAATGTACGGGTCAGGCTAAAAGCGCCTGTGTGAATGCTACATTTCGTAAACTGTAGTCTGTTTTGTGTGTGTGTATTAAAACACTCTTTTTGGAAATTCATAAACGCTACATCAGAATATTGTTATTTGTGATAAAAAAGAGACGCTTTTTTTTAGTTTTTTTAGAAGTCGCGCTGGTCGGTATTTTATAAAAACGCTGATGTTCCTAATTTTTTTTTATTTTTGTGACATGTTAAAATGCAGCTAAAAATGTGGCTTTTACATATAATTACTCTGGTATTATTGTGGAACATTCCCTTAATTACACACCTGTCTTGGATGGTTAGAATGGGCCAAATGCCCGAAAATATGCTCTCGAAAAGAGACTAGTAAAATTGAAACGTTGATACTGAACGATTTACGCGTTGTCATGGGTTGGAACTTGTTATCAGGTAGTTTCTGGGGTTGCTAATTAGGAATCTGAAGTCAGTTTTACAAAATTCAAAATGGCGGATCCAAAATGGCGATTAATTATTTTTTTTTAATTATTGGATTTGTTCGAAAACCGGCACTCGAGAGTATTTGGGTTCGCCGATTACGAATCTGAAGTCAATTTTTTTAAATTCAAAATGGCGGATCCAAAATGGCGATTAATTATTTTTTTTTAATTATTGGATTTGTTCGAAAACCGGCACTCGAGAGTATTTGGGTTCGCCGATTACGAATCTGAAGTCAATTTTTTTAAATTCAAAATGGCGGATCCAAAATGGCGATTAATTTTTTTTTAATTATTGGATTTGTTCGAAAACCGGCACTCGAGAGTATTTGGGTTCGCCGATTACGAATCTGAAGTCAATTTTTTTAAATTCAAAATGGCGGATCCAATATGGTGATCAAATTAAAAAAAAAAAATACTAAAATCAAAACGTTGGTACTGAACGTTTTAAGCATTGTCAAGGGTTAAAACTCGTTTCCAGTGAGTTTCTAGGCTTGCTGATTATGAATCTGTTTTCAGATTTCCACAATTCAAAATAGTGGACCCAAAATGGCGACCAACTTTAAAAAAAATTATTGGATNAACGAATCTGACGTCAGATTTTCAAAATTCAAAATGCATAATTATATGCAAAAACCACATTTTTACCTGAATTTTAACATGTCAAGAAAATAAAAAAATGAGAACATCAGCGTTTTTATAAAAAAACTTACCAGCGTGACCTCTAAAAAAACTTTTCTTTCAAAATAAAAAAAAAACACGTTTCTCTTTGTTTATCACAAATAACAATAATTTGATGTAGCGTTTATCAATTTCCAAAAATTATTATTTTTGAACCACTCTAGTGTGTATGTTTGCATGTGTGTTCATGTGCGCGTGTCACTGCAGTTTAGACTATTTTTTGTGTAAAAAATTTACTATAAATGGATATGTGTATGTATGTATATGTAAGCATTTTATGTGTTCATTTCCATTTTCCAAAAAGATCGATGCGAAAATTACTCTGTTGGCCGTTGCCCGTTGCCAGTTGTTGTACGAGTATCGTTTCTTTCCCTGCAGCGTTCAGCCTTAGCACAGTTTCGCAAGTTGCTACAATTGCTGAATTATTGTCCACATTTTTTATGCTGTGCAATGACGATCTGCTTGCTTCTTCGGCATGGCTTACATTACGGCTAAAATATGCACACACACAAAAAATGAATTTGCACACCAACAAATAACAACCGTTTATTTGTTCAAAAATGTGCGCTCGAATGCAGCTGCTCTTGCCATTAACTATGGATGTGTTTCGGGTCAAAGTTTCTGGTAAATTAAAATGAAAATTTTTAACCGAAATTTATGCGTGCTCTAAGAAAATATTTTCGCATAGTTAAGGCATTTGCCTGTAAGTATTCTTTTATGCACACGCACACATAAATATATGAATTCTTTATAAAGTATTGTGCATTTCTATAAAAGTAAAGAGATGTTGAAATTGTACGAACATAAAATTATATAGCTTTCATGAAAGGGTTTATCGGTGTTTCTGCGGAAATTTACACCTTTCTGCCGCATCTTTGTTGAATAAACAGTGCAAAGGCGTATATTTATAGGTAAGTGGATTTCACTGTAAGTAATTTGAAAAGCAAGAAATCTTGAAGGCTGCAAGCATAGCTTTGTGGTTTGTTGAAGTGCCTTTTCGGCAAAAGAGAATATTGCTTTTCAAAGTAATTTTTAATTTCATATGTGTAGGTTTAATGATATTAGTGTGTGCGTGAGTAGCCATATACATATTTACATACTCTGCGCAAAATCTCCTACTAGTTAATGGGATAGCTCGTTTATGCATCAGCAACTAAAGAAATAAGCCTGTAAAAAAATGCGAAGTTAGGGGATGCAATTATTTCGCCTAAATTTAAGCAAAAATAAGATGTTTTATAAGGAGAAATCCTATTTTTATTTTGCATTCTTTAGCCATTGATGAACAAATTAAATGACTGGGTTTTTAAGTTTTTCTGTTGTGGGTCCTTTGTATTTTCTTCGGTTCTTTCAGACCATGCATAACCTACCAACTCTTTGGCAATTTTAAGATTTGTTTTGAAGGTTCTTCTTGCACTTTTTTGGTATTATTTCGGGACTTGGTTAATTTTTTCACCACTTTTCAGGTTCATTAGATTTGTTTTTTACCTTTCGGTATTTGTCTTGACATTTCGGTTATTTATTCTGATAACTCGACATTCAATTACGACGTTTCGCATTCGTTGGGAATTCTCAGATTCCACATTTTTTTATTCACTAAAGCAAAATATTAAACGAAAATTCGACTACTTACTTGCCGTGCAAAAGTTTTAGGAAAATTTACCCTTAAAAAACTACGAACGTTCATGCATACATACATATCGTTACCTAAAGGTGAAAAGGTGACAAGCCCATTTATGAAGTGAAACTTCTTTAACGGCAATTAGTTCGTTGAGGGTAAATTGGGAAACTCAATTTGGAACGAAAACAAGTGCTTCTTAAAAGGTTTTAATTTGACATACAATTCGTGAACAGCATGTAAAAAATCGCAAGCAGTGGTAATTTCAAAAAGATTTTCTTAATTTTAGAGAAATTGACAGTTGATTTGTCAACTGTCAACTGCCAAGCTGTATATTTTATGGCATACTAAGTAAAACAGAGAACGTACATACATTGATGAAGAAAACGATAAAGGCAAAGGTAAAAATAAAAACAAAAATCAAGATGCAGAAAGATAAATGCAAAAATGGAGATTATAGTAGATTTGAAACCTTTACTTATATAAGTGCAAAGAGGAAGGAGAATATATATGTATGTAGATGAAGAAAATAATAAATATAAAGCTAAAGATAAAGATATATATTATGAAAAAGATGAGGATGAAGATACCGATAAAAGTATAGATGAAGATGGCGGAAGAAAGACTAATATAAAGGTAATGAGATTTTCGGGATTCTCGGGACTGAATCAGGATTTTCAATACTATTTCGGTATTCTCGGGACTATTTCGAGATTTTCGAGACTATTTCGAAAATTTCGAAACATTTATCGATATTGTTTTCGATATACATATCGGTATTGTTATCAACGTAATAATGCGTTTTGTTTTCGATATATTTATAGACACTTCTGTCGATGTAGTAATCGATAATTTTATCGATATAAAAACCCGTATATTGTTTTTGGTATATTTATGAACATATTTTTATCTACATACATTGTTATTGATATATTTATCAACATATTTCTCGATACTGTTTTCGATATAATAATCCATTGGTTATCGATTTTTTATCGATATTGTTATCGATAATTCTTCCGATTTTGTTACCGATATTTTATTCGATTTTGTTATCGATATATTTATGGATATTTTTATAGATATTAGAACGAAAAAACATAAAATATAACTGTAAGCATATATGATTATATTAACTAGCCTTTCGTTTTATTCACAATATTGAAACACTGAAATGCGTATGTATATATGTATATATATTGGTTATGAAACAAACTAAGTATGTACATATCTAACGTAGTAAGTGTGATCCAGGCGCACTTACTTTTTTTGAAATTGTTCAGGAGAGACGAAAAATAGATGCAGTTTTGTTTTACCTGTCATTCGGCATCAAAAACTAAATTAAAAAAAATGGACTCGTAAATTAAATTATATGGAGCTATTTGAATTTTGTCTTCCCTCTGCCCCCTCAAATTTGTTTGGTGCAAATAAAAAAACAAATGCTTCGAAAAAACTTTTAAATCTTATGTACTATACATTCTTGTGCATTTTGTTCTCTAGTATCTAATAAAGTATCTACTTACCTGATTTAACAACAACATCCCTGGAAACGATTGTGCCCACAGCATTACTGCCACAAAATGGTATACCGACCAATGAACATCTTGCCGGAACTCTTCCGCTTGGAATGGTAGGAAATAAAGCGAACCATGAACCAAGCTGTGAAAAAAGATTATATTAACTTAAGTAAGTTAAAGCAAAATGAATTAAAAAGAGAAAAAGTTTATTTGAGAAGAGCGTTTAATTAAGAAAAAGCATTTCAAGTTTTTTAAACCTAGAAGGATTGCAGGGTAAAGGTATTCAAAATTTATTATATAACACCCACATCTTGTTGAGAAATACCAAAGGCATGGCGATCTGTTGCAAAATACTTGAGTGATACGAACCACAATCGACGGACAAAAGATAAATAAAAACCAAGAGCTATTGGCAGTCATCAAAGAGCCATCCACTATACCGGGCATAGGGGCAGTGTTGCCATGTTGACGATTTGGTCGTCATTTTGAATTTGTTTGTCATTTGACAATTTCTTTTGCCCAATGACAATTTTTCTTTATGTGCAAATTTGGTTGGTTCCCAACTTTGCAGACATTTACACAGACAACAAAAAATTGCAGTGTAAACACTTGTATATCATTTCTGCTAATACATATTTTTCGTATCTAAGTTATACCATGTAGCAGCACTAACAGTATTTGTCGATAAGTAGTTTTCTCCTTTGTTTCATCACTATTTGTGTAGTTTTGGGGGTCAATTTCGTAGTTTCTGCGTTATTTACTGATACATGTTTTATTGAGCGAAGGAAATTATGAATAAGTTATTTAGCAAATCTTGTAAGAATGAACAGTGTTTAATGCACATGGTGAAGTTGCAGTTGGCAAATACTTGACTTGTTAAAAGGAAATGGTTGTTCTTGTTTTGGGTTTTATCGAAACACCGATATAGTTAAAATTTTCAAAAATGAAATGTAGCATTAAAAATTTTACCTGATTAAAGCTTAGTACGCAGTTCTCAAGAAATTCGAAATATGCATATAGCATCACAAACAAGAAATGAAAAATAAATGTTTTTCTATACAAATTTCTTCAATCAGTCTGAAGATCTTAACGCTCGTATATTTAGTTCGTCAAGAAAATTTACACCAGCGAAAAAGTTCTTTTTCAAGCAACAAAAATAATGAAACAAATTCTTGTGATTTTTCTAGAAAGCTGTAAAACATAACATGTACTAGAGAAAAACTTTTTGGCAAAAACAAATGTTATACCACTTATCCAAAGTTTCACTAATTAGTTTTAAATTTATCAGTCTGTTAAAATTTAAAATGTTTAATTTTCCGAACAAAATTGTGTAATTTAAAATTTTAACAGGCTGATAAATTTAAAATTGATTAGTGCAGCCGGGCATTAATGATCTCAAAATTAAGATGAAAATGCGATTTTATAGCAAATAAAAATATTTTTGTCAATGTTTTTGTGGCTTGTTAACATTTTATTTTTTTAATATTTTTATTGAGCTTTGTACCACGATTGTTTATTAGGAAAAATTGAAAAAGCGACAAAGTCTAAGCGGTAGAAGTTATAGCACTATTTCGGAGATCACACCACATCTCCTCATCAGACTTCTTTTTTTCTAGACTTCAGCAACAACAGTTTACGGGATGTACATAGCTCAGTGGTTAACGCTTCTGACTTTGAACATCGAATTCGCAGGTTCGATCCCTGCTGAAGTCTAGAAAAAAGAAGTCTGATGAGGAGATGTGGTGATCTCCGAAATAGTGCTATAACTTCTACCGCTTAGACTTTGTTGCTTTTTCAATTTTTCCTAATAAACAATCGTGGTACAAAGCTCAATAAAAATAATAAAAATATTTTTGTTAAAAGTAATGTCAATTTTAAAAATTCGTAAGGAAGTTAAACTTTTTATTTTTACGTATATCAATCACAAAAAAACCAAAAGAGCTTCCTGGTTCTGTTAATTTTAATTTTTTATATGTTGACCATTTTTACAATGACGAATTTTGAGAACCAAACTGACAATTTCTCATTTCAGTGACCTGGCAACACTGGATACGGGTGGGAAACAATGAAATTTTCTTACCGCAAAAAAAAAGATTCCGGCACGAATATTTTTATATTTACATGAACTCATAGATACCCACAGCGTCTTGGCGCGTTTTTGTTGCTCCATCGTTTGCTGCACATGGAGCGTTGTTGACTTTACATTGTCCTCGATGCGGCATTGTACTCGACGCCAAGCCATGAAATAAAATGCGAAGTTGCTATATTGTCTGACCGTCCGTTAATCTTCCTGACCAACAACACCCTTCATTTGTCTGGAGTTGGTAGCTGAGAGCCCCACCCGCCTGCCTTGATTCTACTTCTTTCGTGCTTTATTTACTTTCTCCTGCTGTCCACTCTTCCTTCTACTCTTCTCCATTCGTTCCTTCGTTGCTACAGTAGTATCGAAATAACACGGGCCAGACAGCCAGCTTGCGACCCGGCGAGGCAGCCACCAATGGCGGAAGTTTGGTTCAAGTGGTTATTGATTGAATTTGTTCGAAACTGACTCAGTCACTGCTCCTGCAGATCATTGTTGCTGCTATTGTCATTTTGTTGCTTTTGTGTTTGATTTCTAGTGGCATTTATTTCGCCTTATGTATAAGCACTTATGTATTTACTTACATATATGTGAACTGTGTATTGTGTGCGTCGGTTGTGCTGCTCTTGTTTCGAGTTTAGAGCAATCTTGAAGGGCCTTCCCCAATGTTTTATTCTAGCGCATGCAATGGTAGGCTGTCATTCTACTGGTATCAAAGTGTACTTAAAGTTTAAAGCAATTTTAGTTATTTATTTATGTATAAGAGAAAGCTTGTCGAGGCTCATTTCGAGTAACCACTACAAATACACTTACTAGGGAAATGAATTCAATAAAGTATATCGTCAGTATAAGACAGCGTCGCTGATATTCAAAAAAGCCACAACTAACTAAAAATTTGTATTACCTATAACGATGTGGGGACTTATAATCAGCGTTGCCATTTTAGCCGTTTTCCGGCTAGATTTAGCCGGTATTGATAGCAACTAGCCGGAGAAAATTCGATCTAGCCGGCAGCCGATTTGTTAGCCGGTTTGTAAAAAAAAGTTAGCCGTTTTTAGCCGATTTTACTATTTGCTTAATTTTCAGGTGCAAAAAGTAAACAAGTTGTTCGAAAGCAATAATGCAGACCCAATGAAGATTTTTAATGAACTCAATGTTTTATTTTCGCATCTATGCTCCCTAGTGGTTATTAGCGCGGACACATTTGATCCTATATGCTCCCCGTTGGAACCATACCTTGCTCCATTTCCTCAGTTTTATCACAGTTTTGAAGAGTATTTAAAAACAAAAGTAAGCACAAACGCTTTTGACCACGAAGCCGAGAAAATAATTCGAGAAAATGGTCGCTATTTTATTATCACTTTAATAAAGGAATTACGCCAACGCCTCCCTACAAATATTGCCACACTAAAAAAAATTGACTTTTTTCGGTTGGAAATGCATTAAGAGTAATTAAACCAAAAGTATTTGTTCAACTACAGCAACAAAAACACAAATATAATGCCGACGAAATAACATCCATAGAGATGCAATGGCAACGGTTAACGTTACATACCTGGAGTAATTTAGACTCAACTGTAAAATTTTGGGCCGAAGTTTATCAAATTCGAAATGCTCTAGGAGAAAACCCTTTTTCTGACCTTTGCAACCTAGTTTTTAGTTTTCTTGTTTTGCCTATAAGTAATGCAGAAGTAGAGCGAATATTTAGTTCAATGAATATAATAAAAACTAAGCAAAGAAATCCAATGTGCGTTAAAACGTTAAACGCTATTTTATATATAAGATACGGTTTAAAACGTGAAGAAAAATGCTGCCATAATTTTACTGTAGATGACGATCTCTTAAAATTAATGAATTCAGGTGATATATACAATAGTGATTCATTTGATGATGAGGAATATACACTCGATATAAATTAATGGTGTTAACTAGTCTTTCGTTTCTTGCGATTTATTTAAATAAAGCATGTGAATTTTCACTAAAACATTTTAGCCGTTTTTAGCCGCTTTTTTTTGCCAATCTAGCCGGTCGGCCCAAAAAGTTCTGGCAACACTGCTTATAATACGATGAGAATCAATATAATCAATCAAAAAGTGAGCTTTGGATTTTTAGTTAGTTATGACTTTGTGTAAGAAATGGGGGTTGAGTTATAGTATATACCGCTGGATATGCACAACGGTGGTTAGACCGATTTTACTTTATGGAATTATAGTATGGTGGCCGGCTTTGAACCACACCTCAAAACTTAATCTGCTCAACAAAGTACAGAGCATTAGGATGATCTACATTAGCGGAACAATCAGGACAACGGCAATTTTCACAGATGGTTCAAAAATGAACGGTAGAATGGGAGGGGGTTCTACCCCCGCTGTCCTGCCCTGACTGGAAATGAATAACAAAGGTAATATTTATGTGATTAACGAAAACGAAAACTAACTTGTAGCTTGCTAAATAAAAAAAAAAAACTCATTTTCAAAATGGACTCTAATTTGCATAATAATATTCCACTTTGAGTACAGCTATAAAAAATTGGTTTCATTTGGCGTTCTTCAAGCTTTGTGGAGAATACAAATTTTCAATTTAGAGTTTGTGGGCTGAGAATCATGTTGCACTTGTTTGCATTTTTTTCATTAGAAAACTTCCACTTGTGTTTTGCCATGCATTTCGATGTTTGAAAAGCAGCAGTCAACAAAGATGAAAAAACTGCTGTTTGAAACATTTTGCTGCGAAACGATAACGCCATATTGGATCCGCTATTTCCAATTTCAAAAATTTCACCTCACATTTAAATCACCGAATACATAAAGCACCTTTTATATAAGTTTTTGGTGAAAAGAAACAAAATAATAAAATTTGGTGGCCATATTGGATCCGCCATTTTAAATTCGAAAAATCTTACATCAGATTCGAAATCATCGATATTGAAAACCTCGCTTATGTATAAGCTTTTGGTGAAAGGGAAAGATATATAAAATTTGGTCGCCATATTGGATCCGCCATTTTGAATTTCGGAAATCTGACATTATATTCAAAATCAGCGACCTCAAAAACCCCCAAACACTAAGTTTCAAATCAATTTGGTTACTTCTCGACTTTTGGGCAGCAAATTATAGTCACCAGACCATGGTGCACTGCCTTATAGGTAAACGCGCAGAACGGCGAGGAGTACCTTAGCATAGATGCTGCAGATGTTGCTAGAACTATGAGAAGGATAAGGTAGTTCTCCACCTTCTCTGTAACTGCCCGGCATTATCGAGAAGCAAAATTGTGATTTCTGGGCTATCCCTTCTTTAGTGACCTTGGAAAACTGGGAGATTTAAACCCCAGAAGCCTGAAGAGTTTCGTCAAGCCTTCAAAAGGGTTTAGTAAGGGGGAATGAAAACTCTTAGTCGTGTTATCACAACGGGCCTTCAACTCGTGGCCTACGAGTGTCCCTGCGTAGGAGTGACAGCCATATCTACCTACCTACCTATGGCTTTGTGTTACGCCCTTTCCGTATTATACTAACGATATGTACATTTATGGTAAATTAATTTCGTGTTTGAATATAAAAAAAAATTCATTTTAAAAAGCTAAGAAATTCTTACTGCAAGGGTCTGAACTTCTTGGGTGCCTTATACTGAGAGAGTAATACTCAGTTGCTTCCTTAATCCAAATACTTTGCTGTCCAACGTCGTAAGCCTCGATTTCTTACAGACATATTTGACTGTAAACTGAGCGACTGTAGTCTTACCTCATTTTAATGAGCAGAACCCCAGTTAACCTTTTAATCGGATCAGCTCTCCCAATTTAACTCAATCGCTAGGCGAAAAAGCTGTCGATGCAGCAATTTTATCATTACAAAGACATATGTAACTCAGCATCCCACTAGATTTCCTCCGTCATGTCAACTTAGATTGCAATCCGAGCCGATGATCCCGGGAAACTCCCTACTGCGAATAGAAGCTTTGTGGAAAAAAATGTACCATGTTGAGCAAGATGGCTTAAAAAGGTCCTACACAAATTTTCAAAAATAAATCGAGAGGAAATACCTTCTCAAATAAAATGTAGATGCCCATAACTTCAAAGGAACCTTTAAAATCCTCTTCAGGAATCAGTACTATTGAAATAAAGCCGAAAAGTTCTCGAATGCTCTTTCCAAAAAATGCTTCAACAAACTAGCGCTTTTCTTTCTTTGAAGGCCTCGCTTTGGCATATTTTTGCATGGATCATTGCGCGGCTAGATTCGCACTAATTTGCTGTTTCTCTAGTATGATCGGATGGGAGGCAGCATTCGAACGGAAGCAGCGAAAATTTCCATCAACCTCAAATAAGGGCTTTGAAAGTGGTCGATTGGATGCATAACTGTGTGACGTCGAGAAGGACACTACTAGCCGAGCGGCTAAAAGTGCCTTGGGCTATCTCATGGTGCCCTTACACCCCTACTGTGTCGCACCGTTTTTCCCGTTACGTCTGATTATTTCCTAATTAAACTACTATGGGCACTATATCACAATTTCAAATTGACTAATCGTGGGATGAGAATTACATCAGAAAATCATTACTCCGGGAGCGAGTCTGCACAGCGGCGGTCTGTCCGACAGTTTTTAAAGCCAGGGAGCTGGCATCAAAATACTCTAATGGAGCAGAATCACCGTCGGTTAGTCGATGCAACACCATTAACTCTGAAAGCTCAGGGCATTCAGATATCAACAAAATGGTGCAACGAGTTAAACTGAAATTCAATTTTGGCTTCGTTCAATTTAACTCCAAGGAGAGGTGAACTTGTCAACGTGCCCTAGACAGATTTAACAGTATAGCTGCTGGCGCTGCTGCAAGAAAAGATAATACACGTCTTGTTTGAGCACTCAGTTGCCGACATAAATCCGGAATTGAAAAGGTGTTTTCTTCGAAATATATGTCTTCGTGCCCCCTGCTAAAATTCTCAAAGAGCGAAAAGCATCAAAACCAATTGTGGTGTGAACGTCAGCCTAGTGGTGGAAAATTACTTCCCACCAACTCGTGTTATCTCAGACTACATCCCCCTGAGCCCTCACCTCAGCAAGGAAAAGCACTTCAACAGTAACCCATCCAGATTCGCGCCCTTCTTCCATCCCCTACACCAAACTACCAAACAGACGGTTGATCACTACTGCATAGTTAGAACTAAGCAACTATATAGGCAAGCTGGAGATACATCGCCGGAGGTTATCTCAGTCTCAAAAAGGGATTAACAATGTCCACAACTGCATTAGGAGCGATAAAGACTAAAACGATATGCGTTTAGAATTGACGAAGACCTCTAAAAGCTTTTCAATCGATCAGTCTTTGCCCGGTCTCGGAACGTGATGGTATTCTCGGAAATGGAGGAGATACGAGCGAGCTAGTTAGGGATCTGAGATAAAATTGCCAGAAACGGTTCAGCCGGTAAAACCTTCCTTGTGCTTCCTGTCTTTCCAAGTTGAGAACACAGCCATAGCATTTAGCTCCCCGGCCACTGCTCCATGAGCCAAACGTTAGGATTCTAACAGAAATACTAATGCGACACCGGACCATTGGCTACAAGGCTGCCAGGTCTGTACCATCGCATAATGATTTCTGTAAAAATTTTGAAAATTAAAAGGACAAAGAATGGATCCAATATTCCTAAGTTAGCAAATGCCCGCACACCCGAGAAAATGTGACAGATTTCTGGTCTGCTACAATAATACAAAAAAAATCAGATGGTTTAAAGACATGAATTGTTAGGTATGAGAAGTTCCGATTCTGGGCATCTCAATGGGCATATGCGGCCTCCGTCTTAGCTCTTATGCCCGTAGAACCTAACCTAAAGCAACCATTTACACGTAAGGTTGAAAAAGTTACCAAGTTATCAAACTGACCACGTATTTTCTGACCTAATCTATGTTTCATTTTGGAACCTTGGAATGTTTTGTTAGGAATTATGCTTTGAGCGGTTTCTCGTAATTGGCGCTCATCGTTAAAATTCTTTAACTATGCAGTTACTTTTACAAAATCTAAATTTCTTTCGTTTATTTATTAGTCATAAGACTCTAAAATACATGCTACAACATTGCCCTTCAAATTAAATCTATTGAATAGATTCTCTATTGAGGAAGTATGGCATATTCATTCAATATTTTCAATTTTGCGTGAATGTCATTAATGGCATTTAAAAAAATCCTTTACGTAAACTTTTATAACTAAAATAAAAATGAAATGTATGAAAAGAAGCGCGACGGTAACTATTTTTCGCTTTTCTTTCCTTCTTCTCATGACATATCCTGTCTGTGTGTGGCTGCTTAAAGTTTGTCTCTAACTCCATTAAAATGTTACCTTTGATATTGAGGTGATAGGATTATTATCCTTATCCAGCCATTCGACATTCGGTGGCGGATTGCCATACGCTATACAATCGGCTATGCTGCCAGCGTTGTTGGTGAATTCAATAGACGATGGCGGTTCATGCGAGAAATTAGGCCCTTCAGTGTCAAATTAGTTGGAAGCATCTGCAGAGGAGAATGGAAAAATTCGAAATTAGACAAATATACATACATTTAGCGGAATAAAAGTAAAGTCAAGTATGTATGTATAAAAAATAGTAGACGGGTTGTGGCACAAATGGCAGTGTGTTTATGTGTTAATCTCTGGTTTGTGTGAATAGTATCAAGTTGGCAAATTACAGATCAAATTTGTATCATTCCTAGATTTTATTTATGTCCACAAGAAATTAACGTTAAATGCGATGATTGCTGATGCAAACTGCAGATAAGAAAAGTAACCAAACACCAACGCCGCACAATGGGCCATATGACGACATTAGCCGGAAACAAATCTAAGTGGAATTTTGTTATTATGATAGTTCTAACTTGTTAAGATATGTCCAATTACATAGAAAAAATTATTCTTTGGCCCACTTTAGTAGCTTTTTTGTAGGTCAAATTCGATATTTTTAAACTTTAATTTCTAAAAATTACATAAATGAAATAAACATTTTTGAAAAGTGGTGTGTTGTTTATCACAGTGGTGTGCCAGAATGCTGAAAAGAACGTACTTGGCATAGAAATTGATGCTCTTTTTTATGAAATAGAAACAACTATTATATGATGAGGGACGTACCTGGAGTAATCTGTCAAAATTAGGCGAACACTTCCGGACAGTCTATGTAAACACTGTACTGTCATGTACTTTTCTTAAAATTTTTTTGTGAAACTCTTCATGATCCCTACTTTTAGATACTGCTAAAGCCAGACTTTGTATGACCTTGCACGACCTTGCAACAATGTCTTATTCGATATCGTATCAAGCAGATTCTGTACGAATAAATGGTCATAGTTACCTAAGATTTGCGACTGATGAAGCAGATGAAAGTTCACACTCCGCCAGTGACATTTCGCAGATATAACTCAAAAAATATATACATAAAATGAATATGTAGTTATAAGTTATATATTAATTAAAAAATAATTGAACATATTATGCAATTTTACATTCAAACTTGAAATAGTGTTTTCTTTACAGTGTAAAGCTTTAAAATTAATTTAAACTGTAAATACATTTTTCGATTATATTAGTCTCAGAGCTCTTGAGAAGGTTAAAAACTATATTTCCAACATCTACATAAACTCCTCTTTCCCTTCATCAGAATCGGCAGAAGTTATGAGAAAGTATGTACCTCGAAGGTGTTCACACGGTTTTTGTCAGGACTGGGCCAAAAATCAATATTTTTGCACCACACGTTTGGGTACCAAATGGCGAAGCAAATGTAGCCATAAATAGGATTCTTTAGGATAGTTCTCAATCCCTGATCCCCCTTTCTGAAGAAAAATCCTTCTAAAAACCTTTCCACAGAATAAAAATCATTCAATGCGATTTTTGAAATCTGCGAGAAAATTCTTCCCATTTGAATGATTTTTGCCATTTTGTATGTTTATAGATGTAGGTGTATCGATAACTAGTACCAGAGATAAGCGATATGGAAATTGCAATTTGTATGGGAAATGCCACATCCCCTTTTCCAATACAAACCATTTTTCGCCACAAGTACGAAATTGATAACATATGTAGCTGTGTCAAATGGCCGAACGTTAGCCAAAGCGGTTCCAGAGATAAGCGATATGGGAATTTCAGTTTGTATTGGAAGTGCCACGCCCTTTTTTCCAATACCAAGTTTCAGTTCGCCAGCGTGATTGGTTTTAGAAAAATATCAGACGCCACGCCCCCTGTATAATGGAACTAACATTTCTAGATTAGAGGAAGTTATATCCTTTCAAGCGAATGGTGCCACCAAAAAAGGGGGTTCAATATTTTATTGTGACGTATTTAAATGTATATAGATACCTTCAATACACCGTTTTTGCTACAAACCCTCCTCAAAGGACCTCTGATATAGTCTAATCAATCCTTGATCAAGGTAAATTTTTGTATGGCCACTTTTTACAACAAATCTGAGTACCTGAAGCAATAAAATATTTTTTTGCGGTTAATTTGTGTGAGGCGGCCCACTGTTCGCCGGGCGCCGAGCGTAGACATTGCAATCTCTTGAGTGCGCACTGAAGAATGCCAGCCAGCTATGGCTGAATCAGTGATGGAAAAGTAGGCACAATAGTGCCATTTTTGGCACTTTCATTCTCAGAGGCACTTTTAGCACAATGCATCCTGTTTTGGCACAATCATGAAATAAATAAATTTAGCATAAAATGCCAATATATATGAAAAAATCACATACCACATTATAGATTAAAAAATTTAGAAAAAGTTCAAATTAAAAGCACTAAAAAATTAAAATAAGGGTCGGGAGAAGTATTTACAAACCTCTAAAATCTATTGTAAATACACAGTACGAAAAGTAAGTTTTCGCAACAACAAGCTTTTAATTTGGAATTTTTAGAAAAATTCGAAGATTGCAGTTGTATAGGCCATTAAATAGATTTTTGATTTTGTTTTCTGTATACAAAATTTTCGAACACATTTCTTATGGGAAAAAATGCACAAAATCAAAATCTTAGATTCTCCCTAAAAATACTGAATTCAAAGCTTGTTGCTGCGAAAACCTGCTGAGTTTTTATAAATTGTGTACAAAGTTTGAAATGCTAATTTGTGTACATATATTGCGTCTATTAAATTATGAGTTAGACTTTTATATAAAATCAATAAAAAAGTCTATGAAAAAAATAGGCGAAACTGGTCAAAATCCCTCAATGCCATTATTTCCCACATAGGTGCATACATATGTGTGTAAAAATGTAATAATAGCTATATTTCGGTGTATTTCTCGTCCGTAATTGGAATTCTGTGTAATTTTACTATGAATTTATGTATCCTTATGTCCTTCATAAAAGTGATTTACTGTAATTATTTAGTTAACTAATAATTATTATATGACTACAGTGTATTTTAAAAATAATATTTTTAAAAATATATTGCTCTTAAAACGCCTTAAAAGAAATTCAATTTTGTGGCACTTTCACCTTCTTTTCTGCACTATTTTTGAAGACCATTAGGCACATTTTGAAATTTTGAAATTCCATCCCTGGGCTGAATGCTTAAAGGGCGAGTAGCGTCGTTGATTTTCTTACAGCCGACCAGCTAGGTACCTACGTAGCACGTACATACATATGTAGGTTTGTATTTGAGTGAATGTACTGCTGGATTTCCTAAATCTTTTTATTCTTTAGAATTTTTATTTTCTTCCTACATTTTAACTGTTTTGTTTAAAACCCCTTTATATGCTTTTGCGCTTCTGTCGCTCGTGTTACAAGCATTCTAAAGCTCTTTCCTTCTGTGACTAAGGCAGTTTACCTTCTTCGTTCTTTACAAATTCCCTTTCCAGCAATTTTGCCAACTTCTTTATAATCTTAACAGCTACGCTGTTACAGCTGCTCCAGAAAGACCTTTTAAAACCAAATAAACAGTTGGAGGGCTTGTCTTACTTTGGTTACTTTGGTTGCTCTAGGTGCTTTGGTTGCTAGGTTGGTGGATTGGAAAAATGGCCGGATGAGTGTATGGCTGATGGGGGTGAGGCTTATGTAGTTGTAGAAAATTGATATAAAGACTCATCACAAATAGTTGATGAAGACACATACAAGCCGCAATGGGTTCAAGTGCATCCTTTACAAATTTTACTTGCAATTTCACCGCCCGCAACCCTCAACTGTACAGGGCTTGCGCGCAAGCAAACAGGAAATTGCAAGCAACAAACTCAATAAAGGGGCTGCGTTGTGCGCTACGGTGCCACATTATAACTGCTTCAATCGCAGGATGCATGTCGGATAGCAGGCAAAGAATTGCACAGCAAAACCATAAAACAAACAAGAAATTAAAGGAAAGGATACTTACTCACTTCTAGAAATGTAGAAGACGAGAAAACAAAAGCAAGAAAAATATTTTGCAAATGAGTGGTTGACGTTGGTCGATGTAGATGAGAGCGACATTAAACTGAAACCAAGAAGATGTAATTACTATGGTTGAAAAATTGCACAACCATATGAAACAGTTAAAACTGCTACGTTGCCAGCTGTGTATGTAGCTTCCTGAGTTTTCTCGCTCCAGCACCGTTAGGCTTCTTTTCATACATCTCCAATTTTGCCCCCCACTTCGCTTGCAAAAGGGATTGCAGATTAAATTGACATCGAGACGATGATGCTGATGATAACGTTGATGTCGATGCAGGGAATCAGCCGCAGAATTACATTCAGGTAAATAAAAATAGTTAAAAACAATCGATAAAACGACTGTGACGAGTTGCGAAGGGTAATGTCAAAGTTGCGCAACCAATTGATTTTTAGTTTGTTACACTCATGTATGACGACGATACCAGGAATCCAAAAATGGCGCTGTAGAAGTGGATTGTTGAAAACACGAGTTTAAAATGTTACTATTCGAGTACGCTTATTATTAAATTTTAAATACGAATATTGGGTTATTCAAATAAGATACTCAGCTAAAAAAAAACGATCGGTTTAGGGTTAAAAATTCAAATAGTGACAAACATGATACTGTGATAATTAAGTGTGTTTTTGGTATTAAAGTGAAGAAAAAGATTGATCTCTCTTACTTGGGTCGATGTTATTACTAAATAGTTTATGTTTTTTAAATTTATAACACAATACGCCTAGGCTCCAGTATAGAGAAGAAATTTGTTTCGATTTATTTTTAGTTCGTTTCTTTTGTCTTTCTCCTTGTATATCTCTTTCCTTCTTTGTGTCTGTAACTTCATGTTTGCTTTTGCCTTAATCTTTGTATATCTTTTTTATCTAAATCTCTATCTCTACTTCTATCTTTAAATCTATTTCAGCCTCTGTATGTATCTGTTGCGGTAATTTTATATTGATTTTCATCTTTACCTAGCATTTTCTTTATCTTTGCTTTTTTTCCTTTTACTTCTTCTTCTCCTCCTTCTTGTTTTTCTTTTTGTTTTTGTTTTTATTTCTATTTCTATTTTTATTTTTATTTCTATTTCTATTTCCTACACTCGTGAAAACTAAATTCGTAAAACTATATTAAATTT